AATTCTGTGTGTTAGTTCAATCCTGCCTTCAGGCATGACAAGTTTACTCATCAGAACTTTGATTTTGCCACACAATCTATTTCTTTCTAAATATAAGGTACTTATAATTCCGCCATTTCTTAAATGCAGGCAAACTCCCACTATTTTGCCATCATAGAGCAGGCAAGTATACTCAAATCATATTTATATATTTTGCATTATGTTTCAGTTTTCCCTAGTGCTAAATATGCCGTGTTATGACCTTCCATTGTACCTCATGCATGAATTAAGCGTGTTCTTTTCCTACTTGTATATCTCGCCGCACATAAACAATATGAGAAAGAATGAACTGTACATATTGGGAAAACACCTCAGTAGGGACAGTCTTTTATTGAATGCGTTTTCATGCTATTTATAACCATGCTGTTTTTGCTCATGCAAAAAATGGACTCAGATATTGCTTTCTGCTATACACTGCAACAAAATGATATTAAAACTACACTCATTAGTTTGGAAATAGACTATGAATCGTCTTCTGTTCCCTATTTACATTTGCATTAAGCTATGATAGTTTTTATTACTCTAAGTACCACATTGTTTCTTTGAACCTTCAAGTCAATCAGCTATTTCTAGCTGAATCAAGCCACATGTTATTTGCACTCAAACATGATGTTTAGAATTTATGAGAGTTGATCTAATCTTTCACCAACCTGCGATGTAGATTAAATAGCTAGTGCCGGTTATTACTATAATATGGGTTGGAATAATTATCTATTGCAATCTAATATGATGATCTTCCTAATTTTCTTTACCTCAGATGATGGAGGGGAACATGTGGCTCAATGATACCATTGGAGTTATTCCCAAGAATTCTTGGTCCATTGACCCATTTGGCTATTCATCTACCATGGCTTATCTACTGAGGAGAATGGGTTTCCATAACATGTTGATCCAGCGAACACACTATGAGCTGAAAAAGGAGCTTGCGAGGAAACAGAATCTTGAATATTTGTGGAGGCAGAACTGGGATATCGAAGAAACGACTGACATATTTGTTCATATGATGCCCTTCTATTCTTATGACATACCACACACCTGTGGACCAGAACCAGCTATCTGCTGTCAGTTTGACTTTGCTCGAATGCGTGGTTTCAGCTATGAGTCTTGCCCATGGAGATATGATCCAGTTGAAACAGATTCAAACAATGTGCAAGAGAGAGCAACGAAACTTCTAGATCAATACAGGAAAAAGTCAACCCTGTACAGAACAAATACACTTCTCATTCCTTTGGGAGATGATTTCCGGTATGTTAATACCGAGGAAGCAGAAGCACAATTTCGCAATTATGAGAAGCTTTTTGATTACATCAATTCTAATCCCCATCTGAATGCTGAAGTCAAATTTGGAACCCTGGAGGATTACTTCTCTACACTGAGAGATGAAGCTGAAAAGATAAACTATACACGCCCTGGTGAAGTTGGTTCTGTTGAGCTGCAAGGTTTTCCAACACTTTCAGGGGACTTCTTTACATATGCTGATAGACATCAGGATTACTGGAGTGGTTACTATGTATCAAGGCCATTCTTCAAAGCAGTTGACCGCGTTCTAGAGCAGACACTCCGTGCCTCAGAGATTCTGAGTTCATTTGTTCTTGGATACTGTCAGAAATTTCAGTGTGCAAAACTTCCCATCAGTTTCTCTCACAAACTAACAGCAGCAAGGAGGAATTTGGCACTTTTTCAGCATCATGATGGGGTAACTGGCACAGCTAAGGATCATGTCGTAGTGGACTATGGGACTCGAATGCACACTTCTTTGCAAGATTTGCAGCTATTTATGTCAAGGGCAGTCGAAGTGCTTTTGGGAGATGTCTATGATAGATCTGATCCTACAATTTTATCACATTTTGAGCCGTTGCAGGAACGATCAAAGTATGATGTTCAACCTGTGCATAGGGTTCTCAACCCTCATGAAGGGAAGACACATTCTGTTGTCTTTTTTAACCCATTAGAGCAAACAAGGGATGAGATTGTTATGATTGTGGTAAGCAATCCTGATGTATCTGTTCTCAATTCAACTGGGTCCTGTTTGAAATGTCAAATTTCCCCTGAGTGGCAGTATGTCAGTGGTGAGAAGATTTCTACTGGCCGGCACCGTCTGTATTGGAGAGCTTCTGTTCCTGCACTGGGTTTGGAGACTTACTATGTGGCCGTGGGCCAGGACTGTGAAAAGGCTACTCCTGCTGTGGTAAAAGCATTCACCGCTTCCCAAGAATTTTCTTGCCCTGAACCATATCATTGTTCAAATCTTGAAGGTAAAACTGTGGAGATGAAGAATTCTTATCATACTCTTTCTTTTGATGTAAGTCATGGCCGCCTCCAGACAGTCACTCGTCACAAACATGGGGAGAAAACTGAGATAGGCGAAGAAATTGCCATGTACAGCAGTCGTGGAAGTGGGGCATACTTGTTCAAACCTATTGGGGAAGCACGGCCAATTGTTAAGGAAGGAGGATATTTCGTCCTAACTGAAGGGCCATTGGTTCAAGAAGCCCATTCCCTTCCAAAGACGGAGTGGGATAAGTCACCTCTCTCACATAGCACACGCATTTATAGTTGCGGGGACACTATACAGGATATGCTGGTTGAGAAGGAATACCATGTTGAACTTGTCGGTCGTGTATTTGATGACAGGGAGCTAATTGTCAGATACAAGACAGATATTGACAACCAGAGAGTGTTCTATTCTGATCTGAATGGCTTTCAGATGAGTCGGAGGCAGACATATGATAAGATCCCCTTGCAGGGCAATTATTACCCAATGCCATCACTTGCCTTCTTACAGGATTCACTTGGCAACCGGTTTTCAGTACACTCCAAGCAATCATTAGGAGCAGCAAGCTTGAAAAAAGGATGGATGGAGATTATGTTGGATCGTAGGCTGGTTCGGGATGATGGCCGTGGTTTGGGGCAGGGGGTAATGGACAACCGGCCCATGAATGTAATCTTCCATCTCCTCATGGAGTCTAATGTGTCTGCTTTGCCTAAATCTCACAATTCAATTACTCTTCAGCCATCACTCCTTTCCCACCGTGTGGGGGCACACCTGAACTACCCAATGCATGCTTTTGTGAGCAAAGAACTTCATGAAAAATCCTTTAAGCTTCCTCAACAGACATTTGCTCCATTGGCTACATCTTTGCCCTGTGATATACATGTTGTCAACTTGAAGGTCCCTCAGCCTCTAAGGTTTGCTCATACCGAAGCAGTTGAGCCAAGATTTGCCATTCTGTTGCAGAGAAGGGGCTGGGATGCATCATACTGCAAAAGGGGTGGGTTACAATGTACAAGTATCGGGGAAGAGACTGTAAATCTATTTGACATGTTCAAAGATCTATCTGTCTTAAATGTGAAGGCAACCTCTCTGAACCTCTTGAATGACGACCCTGAAATGCTAGGGTATCTCGAGCAAATTGGCGATGTAGCTCAGGAGGGTAATGTTCTCATCTCACCAATGGAAATTCAGGCATACAAGTTAGACCTACAGCCACCATCATCACCAGAAGAATAGTATGTCGAAGCAGTACATTTACGCTGCTTTGCCACTAACTGGAGAAGGATCTACTTGGAGTAGTTGGCAGTTGCATCTTGATTATGCTGGAACACCTGCTCTTCCACATGCATATGTGTTCATCTGGTTGACATACAGTGAGGGATTGAAGTTGATCGTCGAGACATTCCTCTGAGCAGCCTGAGAATTGTGGTTCAGTTATTTGACTGCTGCCTTTCATTTAACCTGCAAGGGTGCATATACTTCATTTTCTCCTTGGTGATTATTGCTTAACAAATTGGAAGTTTGAGTCAATTCGGAGCAGGCTATTGGAGTAGCTTCGATGTCTACGTGCTGCCACCTCCACTTTTATCCCAGCTTTTTGCGCTCACAGCTGTGGCATGTTATATCGGCCAATGCTATCATGATAGGAACCTATATGAACACAAGTTTTTGTATATACCCTTTTTGCATCCGAGTTTTGTAGCGACATCACAGAACCTTGTGGACAAGATCTGAGACAGTTTAGGTACATGATTCTTGCTATATGACTGCTTTATGCAAATTCTGCCTGTGCACATTTTCTGAGATGGCTGAAACGCACGCCAGGGGGCTTTGAATTTCGCGTTTGGTACTGAATACTGATACTGGGACGTGGACGGGGGCTTTCATGGTTTTTATTGCTGTACGCTGTTGGTCAGCTCTGTACTTGTTATAGATGTATTTTAGAGTGTAGATTTACTCATTTTGCTTCGTATGTAGTCTGCATTGGAATCTCTAAAAAGACTTATATTTAGGAGCAATATATAATACATACGTGTTTATCTAAAAGGACCTGATTCACCTGATTGTTGCATCCAAAATTACAAGTAAGCGCGATGCAAAATGTAGGCTTGGTTCGTCCGGCAACACGACGTACTCCCTCCATAAAAGAAATATAAGAGTATTTAGATCACTACTCTTATACTTTCTTTATGGAGAGAGTACAGAGTTTCTTGCAATTTTTTTGCCACGTAACAGATAAAGGAAAAAAAGGCAGAAGCACAGGCGAAGGACAGGCACTGTTGGATCTTTTGCTTTCATGATCTCAAGAACATTTGTTCAATGCATCTCGCGAAGATAGGAGCTGCTGTATCCAAACTATGTACATAAACAGTGCAAGATACATGCATAGCTCAAGACCTGCAGGGGCCGTCTCAGGGCCGGAGGTATAATACAAACGGTCCCCACCTCGCAGTGGGGCTGGTGGGGGTCTTCATGCTTTAGAGTCCAGGCTCTGTTCCGCAGAAATCTTAATCGTCGAACCAACTCGCAAAAGAACTCCATAAATTCATGTACAAACTCAGCTTTGAATTCTGGAGAAAACAAGAAAAGGCCTCCTAGAATGTGATGAAGTGACATGTTTCAGATGCTCCCGCCCGCCTCGTAGATGCAGGTGCTTCAGGCTTCAGATGGAGCATCTTTGTTGCGCCTAACGCGTCCTGCATAAAATGGACACGATGGAAATACATCAATTGCCAGGTGGCTGGATAAGAAAGGATAGCGTTATAACGGGAAATTCGATAATAAATGTGGGGCCGGCACGAAAAGGAAGCGTCGTCATAATTGAAAGGGAAATTCTGTGAAGATGCATTGCATGGTGTGGGTATGGTACCATGAATTTGGAAATTCTGTGAAGATGCATTGCATGGTGTGGGTATGGTACCATGAATTTGACTACTCTGATATGCTATAGTCAGGTTTCAAGGTGTCATCGGCACACATCTGGTTGGCCTACCAACCATATCTAATCATGTGGACTTCTTACAAAGAGTGAGGTGAATTCGCGTCGATCGACTTACCTACCTCGACTTGTATTGGGCTGAATTCTGCCTCCTGCCTTCCTGAGCAACCAACGTGCTCCTTACGTATGAGGTGTTTGGCTCTGCTAATGGGTTGGTGACGAACCCACCCTGAACTCCAAACTTCTGCCTCTCCCACTTAGAAGAAGCTCTGCTCTCCTCGGGGTGGTTTGCTAGGTCGGAGACGGGGTACCTTGAAGTGTATCTACCGCCTTCATTTTTTCTCCAGAATTTTGGGCTCGGGATGCAGCAGTTCATGTCAGGTTCGCTGCTTGGCATCCTTCCAGAAGAGGCGGCCAGATCACGCGAGATCTCGTCCAGTGCCATTTCCAGACCGTTCACCCTTGTCTCCAACGAACGTATCCCATTCTGGGAGCTCCCCATGAATTTCTGATGAACAAAGACAAATTAAAGTGTCAGATGTGTTCCTAGTTTGAACTTGAGACTTTGTTTTGGAACTTCAGATCAATAAAATGGCTGCATGCATAATTTTGATGCAGAGGCCGGGGGAAATCCTCCTTTTCAAAAAAAAGGAAAAGAAAAAAGATGTGTTCCTAGTCTCTGATGAGCAACAAGAGAGAAATACTGGATGAGTTTTCAGGAAGCATAGAGTTATGGAAGTATTTCAGAACACAGTTGCAAAATGATGGATATAAATCAGCAGCAAAAGCTACGATATCCGAAGACATGCTACCTCTATACCATGTGACCTGTGAATATAGTTGGTGATTGGAAATGCAGGAACAAAGTACAAAAAAACTATTGGTGGGTTATATGAAAAATAACATAAGACCGTAAGTTTCAACGGCTGCCGATTAAGACATTGTCATATAGCCACTAAATGACATGTACCAGTCTGTCCAGGTTGTCCCCATACCATGCTACTGCTCATCTTGATGTACCACTGGATTAGTGCCATCAAGACACATTGAATGGATGCATGATTCGTACCAATAATCATTGGTCAATGCTACATACTGAGACCAAATGTCGGTCCCGCTCAACATCCACAATGTTTTCTGAAGACTTGGGGGAATGCATGAGGTCGCCCCAGTGTTTACCGTTACCGTCAAATGTGTCTTGAGTTTGATGTGAGCTTCAAATTCAAACCTCCATCCAATTCTCTATTAACTGTGATGCCCTTGCACAACTATTGATGAAATTCGGTGGGCTGAGATAGTACATGTAACTACATTTACATTTATTTCTTTTATTTTCTTTATTAAGTTGGGCCTTATTTTCGAGTTTATCCCGTGTCAGACACTGGAGATGTATCAACCTACCCCAGTAGGGAAGCACTTGCAAAGATCCAAATGAATAAGAGTTTCATCGGGTTCTAAAGAGATGACACAGAATATAACAAGAGAAATTTACCTGGAGAAGGTCGAGCAAGTTTGTCTGCTGATTCTCTATCTGAACCAGCTGCATCCTGATCTTGGACAGGTCTTCATCTTTGTGAACCAACTGAAGCTCCTCGGAGGAGTGGTCCGACTGAACCTCCTCCGGCCCATCATCCTCAACCTCGGTGCTCTCTTCCGAGTCACCATCCTCGTTGTTGTATGGAACAACTCTAGACCCTGACTTGCGCCCGACTAACTTATTGTACCCTTTTTCACCACTCTTCTGGAACAGCATCTTCCGTGCTTCAAGCCTTGCTCTAACATTGCCCTCTTTCAGAAGCTTCTCCCCAGTCACCGTCTTGATCGGGGTGGCATCTGCTGCACCGGTAACGTCGACCTTGTAGTCATATTTCTTGGCTTGGTCCACATCGCCGCCGCGTGAAGGCGGCGAACTCTTCTTGCTTCTGATGGAAGGACTGGTCCTTCGGTTACTGACTGACGGCGGTGACCTGCTTGCCGGCAGCATGTTCCTCTTTGTAACTGACTGGACGGAATTGGAGCCTAAGGAATCAGCAGGGTATCGACCATCACTTGCACTATCTGTTTGATTACAAAACAAAACAGTGTCAGAACTCATATGCCAGGAAAACCCAATTGGAGTATGCATATGTAATAGTACTACAATGCGTATATATATTTAAATGGAACATTTTTGAATTTCCTTTTGTCATATAGTACCAGGAAAGAACTGTTCTCCTGCCTAGTGTCTCACCAGAACCCACTCCACTTGTGTCTTTTATTACCAGACAAGTTCATATTGATATACTACTAGTCCAAAATCCAAACAATAGAGAACAATTTACTCAAAATTTTGAAAAGGACACTGGTGGCTACACTGCAGGCCAAGAAACGGCACATCACCTGCGAAAGAAGGAGATCTGGTCTGGGCCGGCGACGCGGCGGAGGAGCACACATCCTCCTCCGCGTCCGGGATCTCCCTCCACGCCTCGATCATCCGGTTCATGGACTCCCGCACAATCTTCACCTGCATTGCCAAGAAAAGCCTAGAAATGTCAGCAAGGAAGAAGCAGATCCACGAGCAGAAGATCTCGACGATGGTGGACAAGGGGCCGACCTTGTCGAATCTCTTGGCCTCGAAGACGGCAATGCAGGAGGGTTTGTGGGCGGCAAGGTCGTCGCCGTGCTCCAGGGCCAGCAGCGCCAGCGCCTCGGCGGCGGCCTTCCTGGCGGCCCAGTCGTCCCCGGCGAGCGCGTCGCGAAGGCACGGCACCGCGGTGGCGGCGCCCTCGCCGTCGGTGGCTGCCGAGGCGGCGCCGATGAGGGAGATGAGCGCGGGCTTGGCCTTGAAGGCGGTGCTGCGGAGGAGCTTGAGGAGGCGCGGGAGGAGCGCGAGGAGGTAGTCGGCGAGGTCGGCGTTGGGGGCGGAGGCCTCGACGGCGGCCGCCGCCGCGAGCGCGGCGGCGAGCTGCGCGCACTGGTCCTGCTCGTGGAGCACGGCGTCGGCGAGCGGGCCGAGCGCCGCGGGGGGCGCGGCAGCCCCGGCGATGGCGCGCGCGGCGTCGACGAGCGCGGCGCGCACGGAGGAGTCCGGGTCGCGCACCCGGCGCAGCGCGGCGGCGACGAGCCTGGGCAC